AAATAACACGAAATATAGCAAAATGTCGCTTGCACCATTTACTTGGCGATTTTCAATGCTCGAATACAGCACTACTTACTCTGGTTCGACTTATTGTACTATTTTTATAGTTAATATTTTCACAGAGGCATTTACTATTGTATGAAATTATTTAATAAATTATTTTAAGAGTAATGTTTTGAGTTTTATTTTTGATGACCTTCTATTTGCCAATCAAGCCCTTTCGATTGATATTCATAACGGATGTAGTTGTGGCAATAATTGTACCAAATATCCGATCGATCTGTCGTCAGGAAGGGGGTGTATTTAGTATTTTAATTAATAAATTTGACACTGCCTCATTGGCCGAGTGGTCGCAAATGCGACTGCCGGGCAAGGGGTCTCGGGTTCGATTCCCGGGTCGGGCAAAGTATTACTGGGTTTGTAAAAACCTCAGTAGTAGCACGGAGTCTGGAAATGTATCCGGTATATGGCAATAGGCTCACCTCTATTACATGGGACTCATAACATAAATAGTGAAAAGTGGGTGTTACATTGCACAGTGGCAATAAGTGCTGTAATGTGTACCTCTGCTTCCCCCTTCGGGTATAGAAGGCGTGATGTTATGTTATGTTATGTTAAATTTGACTAAAACATAAAAAATAACTTACATACCATAAAAATCATATTCTCAACACATTATAGTCTAATACCTTATGCATGGGCAGCAAGAGCTCACTCCAACATCTGGCTCGATGCGCCACTGGACACTGGTGTACCGAATAGCCTTTGCAATCTATATCTATATAGGTATATAAAAGAAAGTCGTGTTAGTTACACTATTTATAACTCAAGAACGGGAACGGGAAATATCGATATTGCGCGTACGAAGTCGCGGGCAAAGCTAGTTTTGAATAAAATACATACCATTCTTTCAAATAACGTCTATTAGTTACGTCGCTTAGTTTTACTTAAAGCTTAGTAAGACTGGCTAAGATAGCAGCAACGTCACGTATTGAGATTTATGTTTTACCAGTTTATTAGGAAATACTTAACAAATTTAAAAACTGTTGTTATGATGAATGGGTAAAATACTTTAGTGAAAAATCAAAAGTCAAAGGTTAAGTATAAAACTATACTGTATGAGCATCCTCAAGTGCCATGGTTTTGTAATTTTGAAGTTAAGAGATATATATTAGTAACTGCTTTCAGAATTCGCTTTGGGCACTACGAGTCTTAGCTTTTCTTATGAAAAAGGTAGATTCTCCGTTTTGTCCAGTTTATTATAATAAAATAGAGGATGTCTACCATCGTCTAGTGGAGTGCGCCGGTAATGAACTTGAGATAAAGATTTTGATTCATTTATTGAATATTATTCTATATAAGTTAGATTAGACTGCCTCATTGGCCTTGTGGTCGCAAGTGCGACTGCTGGGCAAGGAGTCTCAGGTTCGATTCCCGGGTCGGGCAAAGTATTACTGGGTATCTTAAAAAATTCTCAGTAGTAGCACGGAGTCTCGAATTGTCCCCGGTATATGGCTATAGGCTCACCCCCTATTACATGGGACTCATAACATAAATAGTGAAAAGTGGGCTTTTCTCAGTATATTCACGTGAGTAACCCGCGAGTTTTAGTTAAGATAATACCCTTGTTTACATTGACTAAGTAAATGCCGTGGAGTTGTTCCAAAACATGGCAAAATAATAACAGTGGCTTTTCGTAGCCACTGTATACACACCCATGATAAGCTTGCAATATCTCAAAATCTAGATCCGAAACGAAATCATCACCACCAGTACAAATATATGTATATTGCTGGGAAGGGCACAGGGTGGAGTGGTACAATATGAAAACATTGAAATATAGTAAGTCTCTTGAAAACGAGAGGTCCGAGATAGATTTGTTTTATATAATAATACTAATTAGTTTTAGGCCGAAACTATCGCAATGGAGAAAACTGAAATGATAGTTTTAGGTAAGGTTTTAAATAAATAAATAATATGTGCACTTTTAAGTATGGGAGAGCCATGCTTCGGCACGAATGGGCCGGCTCGACCGGAATGATGATAATCGAAGCGTTGTTTCACGTCGGTTTTCTATGATTATATATCTATGATTATATATATATCGTGTGAGTGAGTTTACGGGAGGACCAATTTACCTTCCAATTCACAATCCTCAAATTGCCGGTAACGCACTTGTAACTTCTCGGTGTTTCAGGTATACATGGGTGGCGCCGATTGCTTACCATCAGGTGATCTGTCTGCTCGTTTACCGGCTTATTATTTCATAAAAAAACGCTTTTTGAAAGTAATCCTTGCACCCATAAGTGTACCTATTTGTTCACTGTTGTTTCTTGTTTGTCTCTTATATTATTTAATAATACAAAAATAGTCTACCGACCGACACGAGCATGTTGCCCATTCCGTATGAATCGATATTTCAACTTATTGCCACTCGACCGGCTATCGAGAACCTTCACGATATTATTAATTAGCGATATAATCTATTACATGCATCCTTTGTGTGTGGTGGCGGCGGCTCGTTCAAGCGCCTACCAACTCGGAGGCTATGAGTGCATAAATAGATCGTTACCATGGTAACGCCCCGTTCGCTAAATAAACACGCTTCATTGAACGTCGCCATGACAATGACTTTCATTCCGTAACTGTCACCCGAGGCGATAACACGAAATGTTCTGGGGCATCAGTCCTGCTATTGATTTACAAGAAGAATACCTAAAATATGGCGACAAGAACGCCTACGAACTCAACTTCCTTGTCATCGGAGGCTGCGATGGAAGGCATCTTCTTAAAACGTTGGCTCAAGCTTACCGACATACCAGGCGCTACATGAACTTGTTCGTGGTCGACGGATGTCCGGAGCTGGTAGCAAGACAACTGCTCCTCACGTCTCTGGCACTGGAGAAGACAACAAGATGTGGCCTATTGGAGAAGACCCGTCGTTACCTAGAAGTTTACGGTAATTTGCTACTGCGACCCTCTACGTCACGATATCTGATCGCTAAAGCTCGCCAACTAGTCGGTATGGTTACTAACCCTGAGTACATGAACTGTCTGCTGCCCTGCGTCTCTATTGAGCAGATGAAGTATCGTGAACGTGATTATATGGAGAATTTAATGAACTTCTGGACCACGGGCAACACTAACCAGTTTAACGCTTGTGAGCTTTGGGAACATCGCTTGCGACATAGTCTTGGTATTAGGTACGACACCAGAATGGGTGTTTATGACTGGGACTATCACATGAGAATGAAGGAAATTGGGGGCCAGATTTGTTATCCGGAATACAAGCATTTTCGTGAGCACGGCGTGGCCTTTACATGGCTGGAGACAGAAGTATGTCGGCCGAACGTGAGCCTCGCTGCTGGTGTGTATAAGTGCGGTGATAGATATCTCCATAGAGGCTACCTAGGAGACATTGTGACGTCACCCTATATAGGCTATGGACTGAACTGCGAAGATGCCGATATGTTGAAGTCTTCCCATGGCGTCAATTATAAACGTGCGACGGACATTGCAGAAAGAAATGTAATGAGAATGCTTTACGAAATAGAAAACCGTCAAGAGTTTGACGCTGCTGCACTAAACTTAGAGACGGAAAAGAACTTGGGAATGGTAGTGCTGGCTCAGGTGGATGCTAAGATATCTGAGTGTGGTCCCGAGGCACCTTTGCTGTTGCGTGAGGATCGCGACACCTACATCAATGTAGATTACGGGAAGGTTCACTTCTTGTCTCTGTCTGCGTTGGAACATTATCCTCATAAGCCACAGTTTCAGGGCTTGTTTCATGGTGTGTTCGTGGGCCATAATATGTTACCTCGCGTGAAGCCTAGCGTGTGGTCAATGGCACGTGATGATGCAGTCGTTTTGATGGAGTCGAGGAAGTTTTTGGTGGAACAGAAGAGGGATGATGTTAAGGCGTTTGGTGATCAGATCCAGCAAGCTGCCATGGCTGCTCAGTGCGAGAAGATCGCCACGTTCGATGCTCAGACGGATGATTTTGCCAGGTTTCTCATACGTCGTAGGAGTGAGAGTACTGATACTAATATTTCCTTTTAGTTATTTTTCCATATTTTGTTTGATTCTGTATTCTTCCATATCCTATAACTATATTTATATTTTTGATTAAATGATAACGTTTAGTTGTACTATTAAACTTATTAAGCATTTTATTAATGTTTTATTTATTTCAAATATTATTGTTTTTGTTCGATGGTAAACAGTTCAGAGGGCTTACTACAAGTTTGATTTAAGCCTAAAGCAATTGAAACGAGTACGCGTTCGGCGTTTTGATTGGTCGACTCCAATAAATCAACAAATCACAGGCCGGACACTGTCCCATTTTGATTATTTTAAAACTAAAAGAAACTTATACTACGGCCTCTGATCTTGTTTTTGTTGATGATATATATCCAGACCCAGAGTTCGAATCTGAGGCTTTATACTACACCAGGGGTACCCAACCTTTTCTTGGTCATGGACCACTTTTTAGAACATTTGTTAGGTTAGGGACCACTACTAAGTAGGTATTACTTCTTTTCATGTGGTCCGAGATTTTCTTTAGAGTCGTAAGCTTTGTTATCATAAAAATAGTGACTTTACAATTATTAAACTCAGTTGATCCTTTTAATTGTCTTCTTTGACATAGGTTTCATTTGAGCTTTAACCCTTGGTATGCCGGGAGCGTAGATATACGCGAGACACAATGTGTTATCTATTGTGTCTCATATGCCAGCAGACAAGAGGTTAATCATCGTATTTATTGGAAACACAAGACACCTCTGTCTTGTATTTATTTTTAATTTCGCAGACCATATTATTTCGTCTTCTGCGGACCACCGCGCGCCGGTTGGAAACTATCGTACCAGACTTGCGCTTATGATTTTGCAATCTGACATTGCTACTCTATTAACTACACGTATAGTACTTAGATATCTATGGGATAAAATAATCGGTGTAAAATACAGTAAATAAAACAACGGTTAAAATTTGTGTTCATCTATTTTTTCATTAATAATATGTTACATTCATTTAGTAAATCATATAGCAAATATATTTACAAGGACAAAATCAAACGGAAAAATTACAACGTCTTAACGTTTTTTTTTTCGTTTAAAATTCGTATTTTTATATTATATAATATCACTTAACTTTAACATTTCTAAATCAGTAGTTCGGTAGTGGTGAACGGTTCCTACGAATCATCGCAACTTCGCGATAGAGGACACGACACTTCTATTGAGCCTCTTTGCTTGTGCGCATCCACTTTATTAAGTACAAAACATTCAACATCCAGTGACACGATAAATATAACTGTTCAATACATACAATGTTACTGCTGGCCCGCGTCACTGTGCTGTGCCGACCGGTCGGTACAGACAGACAGACAGTAATGCAGTAGCTCGCACGACACAGCGCTACGGAAGGTCAAGTGTTCCACAGTTGACATTGCGCAGCTCCGGAGGTGTGACGTCACAGCACAGCGCGCTCACCACGTCCCATACATTAGTTACGAGAATTCGTACCGAGAACAGAGCACTACCGTGAGCAATGGCGGCGTCGGTCGCCGGTCGCAATTGACGAGTTAGGCCGAGGCATGGCGCCCCCGGCCGCCGCAGCAGTCGCGACGCCTACTGGGTGCGGTGCGCGGGCCGCGCCGTGCAGCCGCCCGGGACCACACCCAGTCACAGAGTATTGCAAAAACATCTACCCTGTACGTGTTCATAGTTCCTATTTAGACTTACTTAAGGTTTAACGATTATCTAGGAGAATAATTACGAAAACAGGGCGCGCAGCCTCACAGCGCCAGTGAACATCGTACCAGTGTGACGCAACCATACGCGGCCGCTCCACTTCATTATTCAATAATTTAACTGTAAGTTAACTACATAATGTGTTTATATTCCGTGGCCGGGCCACCTAGCCTAGCGTAAACGCGAATCAAACGATAACTTCCTAAATTGTCACAATAAAATAAACTTGAAAACTATAACATATTAACATACATTCTCTATCTGTATCGGCATAAATTCGTTTAAGTCAATACATAATAATAATAGATATTCTGATAAATCGAAATAACTTTTATTCACATTTAATTAAGTTTTAGAATATGTGTACGTTAAGGGCTAATTAAATTATTTCTTTATTAGTGCACGGTGAGACGAGATCGAGAGCTGAACTGTCTACGGAACTAAGTGATGACGACGCGAACACAACGAACAACACATTAGGTACAATATGATACGAGATGTGCGCTGTGACCTCTTTGGTGTTCCTTCAAGTCTAGATCGTGTCAAGATCGTAATCGTAAACGTAGAACACGAAGTTGGGCGTATATTCGGAGAGGTGATTACAGTATGAAAGCGATAGTTGTTGACTCTCCGGGGACGGTTGCGTGTCGCCCACCTCCTGACAGTGACGCGATGAGACGGACTCGGACAACTTAACAACCAAACGATACTCTAGGACAAATGATGACGTCGTGACGCGACGTCGAGCTCTGCCTTCGCCTCTCCCGCTAACATCGTGTTACATTAAAGCTTCGCTTAAGAATTAGCTCAATTTGTTAATCGCCTATCTAATTTGCAAGCTACTTGAGCTTCGTCTGTCGGAAGTGAAACGAACTCGAGCTCGACGTATCGGGGGACCTCGGCACCGCACAGTTACACTTAACGCTACGTTCATACACTGAGTTACTTAGAGTTACTTTAGACATACAATCTGCCGCACCACCGCCAGGGTGGCGGCACTCAAACAGATATATAGATATAAAGCGTATTGATCAGATGAACGAATATAATCATATGTGACACGACAACGTAACAGATATATCACCCTCCGGCGGCGCGGCAGGCAAACACTTCCAATCGAGACTTACATTCGACGGTTACTCTAAATCGTTTATTAAGAGTACGTTACAAGTTCAGTCATATCGTTTATGTGCAATTAATATGTACGTCATAGGTCAATAATATTTACAAGTCACTGATTCGCTAACGATAACTACGTATTCACAAGCGGCGGCGCGCCGGCCGCGGCCGACGCCGGCCCTACGTCCGATCACTATACCTTTATTAGATTAACTACGCGTGAAGAGAATTATCGTGTTTCTTACTAACGGTTAAACTAGTCGACGTGCTTACCCTAACAGTGCAGACAGAGCTGGATACATCGATATCTAGTAGCCTAGGACGTGTGGGTCGCGACTCGTGCGCCTCGAGCGTGTCGCGCGCGCCGGCGGGGTCAGTGCGTGTACTCGGGGAAGGCGGCGGCGGGCGCCGGCGCCGGGCTGGCCGAGCTGGCGGGCGACGCCAGGTACCCGCGCGCCGCCGGCACCGCCTCCTCACTCGCCCACCGGGCTAACTGTTGTTGAGCTTGAATAAATTCATCACTAGAAAATGATAGAGAAGAGGAACGGAGAGTCGAGGCGCCGCGGCCCCCGCGGGCCCCGAGAGCGCTCCGCGCGTCCCGCGGGGCCCGCTGTGGCCGCTGTGTACGTATTTGTGTAGTTAAGTAAAATTATGTTATGGAAATGATTCTTAAGTTAGAAAAAGGCTAAATCAAAAAGTTAATCGCGTCACAATACTACTCTTTAATATCTTGCGCTTTAGTTTGGTTTGAAACTAGTCAAGTTAACTTGCTAAATAGAAACTTGAATAAACCACTAAATGTTTAGCCAAAAATTGCTCTGTTGCGGAAAAACACTTAAAATATCAGGTATTTGTTGAAATTAAGAAAATCCTGATAATTATTACAAAAATCATTTCCACGGTAAATAAAATCATAATTATTAAAATTTGTTTTATTAATTTTGGAAATGTAGTGTTTATATTTGAGTGCCAATGGGGAGTGAATCATCGACTAGAGTCGATTAGAACGAGAAGTGATGCTCACCTCTCACTGTCGGGGGCATCCCGAAGTCTTTCGGCGTCGGCGGTCTCATAGAGCGCGTCGTCGTCTGGCGGCGGGCGCGCGTGGCCCGCCAGGCCGGAGTGCGCGGCGTGCGGGGAGTGCGCGGCGTGCGGGACGTGCGGGGCGTGCGGCGCGTGCGGCGCGGGCAGCGCGTGTGCGGCGTGCGGGGGCAGCGCGGCGCCCTAGTCTGGGAGCGCGGCGCCCGCGCCCGCCGCCGCGGCGCCGAACAGCGGCCCGTGGTGCCGCCCGCTGCCGCGGAACCGAGGGTAGCCGAACCGAGACTCCTCTTCGCCGCCACCGATACGACCGCGACATCTACTATAACCAAATAAAATCGTGATTTTACTATTGTCTAACCCCCACACTACTTTTACTATTATCGAATCTCTGAATGATTTTTTGGCTAAAGAGACCAAATTAACAGCAAATTTTAACCTTTTAATCTGGTAACAGAAAAATTACTTACGCGGCTGCTATATCTCCAGGTTCAATTCTATAGTGTCTATCGGCCTCTGTCTCCGACATCCTGATATCTTCGGATCCTGAGGGGCTCATGTGTCTGCTGGAATGGTGCTCGAGCTGTCGGATGAGATCCTCAAGGTTGCGAATGCGGATAGGTCCACATTGTGGAGGTTCATCTTCCTCATCATCATTGCGCTGTCGGCGAAGTTCAGTTTCGTGGATCTTCTCAGCAGAGGGCGCTCGCTCTCGCTTATTGTACTCATACTCTTGCAACGCTCGCAGGTCGCCGGAGCCGACCGCTATGCCCCCTGCACCCGCAGCACGTTGGGCCGCAGCAGTCTTTAGTGCTACGATTATATTTTCGTGGTATCCGTTAAGGTCCTGAAAATGTAGAGTAGATCAAATTAAATATTGTTTAAAATTATAATGCATGTTAGTATGTATCTTAGGCAACGTAGCTGTTCGTGGCACGCTGTAGATACGTTAAAGAAGAAGGAGCATTAAACGAAGTATACATTTTTAAGATTGTTAGATGTTCTTCCTTTGATTCTTACCTTAAATTTATATTCCATATCAGCGACGGCTCCAGCCGGCTCCTGTCCATCAGACTGCGAGCCAGCTTCCAGTTGTTCAGACTGCGAGTCATCTCCCCACTTGTCCTTGCCGTCTACTGCACCATATCCATGCTTCTTTAGGATCCCCTTTTCTGGAAGTTTTGCCATTGAATTCTGGGCTACGTCGATAAATGCTATGTCTTCTTCACCTAGAAGTTTTTAAGGGAATATTAAGATTAATATAATAACTTGCATAAATTCAGCTAGAATACTTTTATATATTTAAGTTCACTCATGAAGTTACTGGGCCAAGTTGAATACTACTTACCTGAATGTGTAGGCTCGTCTTCACTGCCAGAGTGAACTCTTTTCATTTGTTTGTGATCTCTGAAATAAAGGAAAATGAAAACATGTTAGGAAAGTGATCCAAGCAGTAACCACTAACAATTATAGCTAAAAATGATCTGAATGTATTTCTGAGGTTTCCATGCAATTTCACTTTTATTACACTGACTTACACGTCGACTGATTCGTGCAGTTGCCTGGAAATCTTAGAAGGTCAGCCAATTATAATTCTAACGGTACTATAGATAGGATTCACAATTCCTTGTTGATATAAAAGTCACTTACGGGTATCTACTGGTACTGCCAGAGCCTGACATGTGGTTGCCATGTCTGAAGATCACGCGCTGGGAGTCTCCCCGACTGTACATACAAATTGCTTTTAGAAATTTTCCTACAACTTCATTCAGTTTATGATTAGAAAGACGAACTCATTAGTGATGTCCAACGCGAATAATGTGAACAATGATTTTAGTTACCCAACAAGCATTTACTTATTGTTTCATGTGATTCTGCTTTTGTAAATATAAAGCTTATATTATTTACCTAAATTGCAAATGTCTCAAAATCTGGCTGTTCTCATACGATAGGAAGAATTTGAGGTGCAAAGTGTATCTAAGTATGGACTAAACTTTTTATTTTCTATTAACAAAAATGTATAAAGAAAAAGCGTGTCTTTTGTGAGTGCTCTATCATGTTGTGAACACACAAATAAAAATTGCAGTTTGCTCAAAGACCTGTTCTAGTCCAAAGCGTACTGGGACTTAAGCTCAGTGTAATAAAAGCGAAAATCGTGTGAGCGGAAATAAACAGCGGTGCGCAGTCCAATCCACGCAAAGCTTTCGACATACCTTAAAAGATTTCTTTGAGTAGATGAGTTCCGTTAAAAAGAGGAAAGAAAATTTTAATTTGAGGATACATTTAGCGTAGGTACCCATTTAGCGTGTATAATACGAAACATGCCAGGAGTTAACAACATCTATTGTTTTAGTTAAATAGTTTTGCACTGTATTAGAAATGGGTAGCTACGTAGTACGGGTAAACAAAAGAGGTTTTTTTATCACAATCACGTTTAGCTGATTTTTAGTTTATAGAGAAAAATAAAAAACGGATTTTATTCAAAGTACGCCTCGAAGGATTAATTATTTTAGTTTATAGACACCAAGAATTGTAGGGATATTTGATTTAAGGAAGTAGACGTTTGGCTGTGAACTTAAAGATGCGACTCATTTATTAGGAGAAATAATTTCTGTTTGGAAAGTAAGATTTAGTGTGAATGGCATCTGTAAGTTATGTCCAAACATCTTAAATTCCGCAGGCTCACCTGAACGTGTTGTTGAAGGAGTGCATCTTCCCTCCGTCCAGAGAAATGTCTTCTTGGGAGTTGTTAGAGGTGGTGGAGCCGGCTGCGAAGCTCTTCGCAATCGGCTTCTTGACGTAAGGCGGGTCGTATTTTCGTGACGTACTCTTTTTCCTGAGGCAGGCGTGGCGTGGGGAACGCACACTCAGATCAATCGATAAAGTTTACGAAATCGGAGGTCGGCGACGGCAACACATGCTGACGTCCCCGAGGGTCTCGAAACGAGGAATAGAAGATGGTATTCAACAAATTTTTGGTGCCCACAATTTTGGATGAGTCAAAATTATGGTAATGTTAATGTATAATACACACAACAATGTTTGAGAAACATTGTTAATTTGTTTAAATAATTTGTAATAGCGTCAAGTTAGGTTACATTCGGAATTACAAAGACATAGTTACATTGCAAGGTCACCTTTTATTCCTCAATAGTATTTCAAAATTTACTTGACAGCAAAGACTGGCGCTTTTGGATATTACAAGAACAAAGTACTTTTTATAATTTTTGAATTGGACTTTAGAATCAACTTTTCGTTTCATTCCTCATGGGAATTGATGTTAAATGGAAATTAATATCAAGAGATCGATCTTAGCTTAAAGTGTGCAGGCTCCTTCCAGTAAAGTAAAGCGAGGGACAGCGAGGGTACATGTATATGCGTTTCAGTTTTAATTATTATTAATTTCCGCTTAGGTAAGCAAAAGGTAGGCATGGTTTGCTGGAAGGATCCTTGTCTTAAATGTAACATTAGGCGTTGCTAACTAGATAGACAGCTGCTTGAAAGAAGAATCCGTGCATCGCACATTCGCTTCTCGTGCAAAAGTTAATAGAATTTAGTGGTAAGTGGTAAGTGATTGGTGACGTTAGAGTCGAGCGATCTATATCTTCTCCGGTTTCATAGTAACAGTACTGTACATACCTCGGCGTGGCACAACACCACGTACCGTGCGGAGCGGTCTCCGATCTGTAACTCGCGCGCAACATTATTGAACATCGGAAGATATAGACGCGACGCGCCGCCGGGCCGCGGTACGGCGCCCGGCGACGCGGCCTCCGACCAAGAAAGGAAACGAAAACGAGTCACAGTTCACATAAGCCAATGCATACATCCAAGAGCCCAGAATCTTAAGGGTTTGAGTCGAGGTGTCTCGAGTACAACGAGGAAAGCCTTGTCGGCATGCAGCGAGGCGGTCGGACGGCGAGGCGGCTGGCCGCGCGGCCCGGCCGCTCGCGGACACAGAACCACAGATCAAATGCAGTTGTGGCGCGCCAGCCAGGCCGACGCGCCACCCGCCAACTCTAACTCTACGACCACAAAGTAAACGACATAAAGAACGTATGTCCAAAAGGAAAAATAATAAAGTAAATGAAAACCAATCGCCGACGTAAAAACGAACAGAAACACCAACGCTAACGTCTAAAATAAACATACAAGTATACGAAGGTGACGATTTAAATTTCTTCTTAAAGACTACCTTTGGTCTGTTTTCTGCTCACTAACCTTAGGCACAGGGAGAAGTTTTTGTGTACTACGACTGACCTGTAGCAGAGAGCGCTCAGGGCAAATACTATGAATACCCCCCCTACCACAGACATGAGCACCGCCACGAGGAAAACCGTGTTCGAGCCGTGGTAGTTCTCTGCGCCCAAACAGAAGGGAGTGAGTGACGGCCGGCGCGATCGGTGACGTCACGGGGTGTGACGTCAGCGAAGCGGGCGGCCGGCGCCGGCGCCGCGCGGGCTCGCGGTCGGCGTACACGACACGACAAGACACGACACGACAGGCACGAGCGACACACACAGTGCGACAACACCGAGTTACCGGTCGTTACCTGAAGCAGTACGCCATCCAGGCGAACCCCACGAACACGGACAGCACGACCGCGAGCAACAATATCACCATGTTCATGGTGCTCATCTTATTCCCCTCGTGCTCACCTGCAAGAGAGGGGTCCCGCGCGTTAGTGCGCCGGCGCCGCCCGCCGCGTCGCGCCCTCCGAGCAATGCTCCGTGCAGCGGGACACCCGTGCCGGGCCCGTCTCACGTAAGTTGATGACTGCGTGGGATACTACCACTGCCGCGGGTTGTATTTTATTCACCACTGTACCATTCAAGTGGCGTCCATAACTTTACAGTACTAGAGTTTACGTTACGTCATCATCTTACATTAGACTTGGGCATTTCTAAATGTTTAATTTACTGATATTTGTTACTTCCAAAATGCAATACGCGATGATGTCGATGATAACGCCTCTCAGCGTAATTTTGAAAGCAGTGCTCGGATGTTTGGCCAATTGTTACAGTAGGTATAAAGTAGGGGGAATATTAATAGATACAGTACAAAAACACCTGAAAACATAAACATGAATTATAGTAAAATTATACAAGTATTAGAAGAAGTAATAGTTTGTGGATATAAAGGAAAAGGGTTGGAAGAAGACGGATTTGTAGGAATACGTAAATATAAGAAAGATGTTTATAAGTTAGCTTCATCTGAATCCACCATTACCTTCAACAAATTTACTTTACCTTTCGGTTTTATGATTTTGAACAAGATATCTTATTATTTATTTTGTTTAATAAAATATTCTTTTTAATCAAAAATAATATTTGTAACGAACAGATACTAATGAAGATTATTATTCGGAACATCTTCATCTTGACAGTAAAAAATAGCATTTGTTTTTGCGTTACAATGGTTAGCGCTCGATACTTTCAAAAATATTTTATTTATTCATCTACCAGTTCTTTTTGCAGATAATTTTATCCGCAATCAACGAGGTGGCAAGATTACAAGAGAAACTCCGAAAAACTGAAAAAGACAGTCAGTATATAAATACATAGATACACAAATAATATTAGAGAAAAAAACTGAACAAGGGCCAAATAATACAATAGGTTAAAATTTGCTTACAAACTAAGTAAAAGTTATTATAAAAATCTGAAAGTTAATCATTGAATTAGGTCACAATTTGGAAATTATTTGAAATTTTTGATATTAAAGATCAGATTTTCATTATAATTTCGACAAATATTGTTATTTTAATATCAGTCTCTTAGTCTAAGCTTATATTACTGGTTTCGACTCACCATACGGTGTTTCCTTCTTGGTCATGTTATAGGCAGCTTTTGTGCTGTTGTCTGGAACATAATACGGAGTGGGGGAAGGGGGGAGTTCGTCGTGGTGTGAGCAGTCTGGACCTGTCCAGCCTCGGTTGCAAACACACTGGTTCAGGTTCGAACACACCTGGAATTTGAGATGATGATCTTAAGCAAAGGTAAGCAGACAAAAATAAAATGTAATTTGTTATTTTTGCAGTTGGTCAAGACATAGAATTTTCTTCAGTACCGTAGCCGTGTAGTATAGATGTATAATTTTTGTCCAATCGAAGTAGTTAAAATATTTAGGTTTCAGTCAAATCTCGTGAAAATGTATCCCGGCTTTGCTGTTTAAAGGCTTATTGCATTTGTATAGAAAAAGTATTTGATACTAATATGCGAAACTGAATAATTAGTAAAAACAGTCATTTAAACTGTCAAACACCAAGCGGTCACCGGTGACCGCAACCTATTGTTCTATAACTGTGTCTATAATGACGGTACTCGATGAGTTAATAAGCACAAATCGATATCCAACCACAATCTAAAATTCATTAAACGTAAAGACTTTAAAAGTAGCTCACATCTACACACACGTATTGCATCAACAAATACGTTTTAAATCCGAATTCCAAAGGCTTTCACACATCAATTCACAAAGCGATTCAAATAAAACGTATCCAAAGTTATCCCATTTGGCTTCCACAAACATAGTCAGTAACAGTCGAAACTTACTAGCGTCGAATCAATTCTAGACTTAGAACAACTTCTACTGATATTAAGGGAATTAATTTTGCGTTGGAATCGATTCGTATTACCTAACTGCCACAAATTGGAGGCCAGTGGTTGCTACTATTGGTGTCTCGCTTGTGAAGTGTGTGATTGCAAGAGCTTACATTAACTTTGTGCAGTGGCGCATTGTATTTTTTGTTCTAATCCATCCTCATCCATGAATCAATTGATTCTCTAACGCCCAAATACTAAATGACGACTCAAATCTAAGTTGTACTTAAATATCGTACCGTCTTTGTCATTTTACAAAGAATTTTTAGTGACAGAACTATACTTAAGACTTTTACTGCCAATAAAAAACTGTTGAAGGTAAATCCTCCGCGAACGCCGGTCACCGGTGACCCCCATGGCGTTTAACGTGTTAAGCAAGTTTGAAATTTGAGTGGCGTTTGAGTCTTTGAACATAAGGCAATCGTAGAAGATTTTGTACAGATGATATCTACACAAGTATCTGAAAATTGTTCACATTGTAGTATAGAATCAGAATCAGAATCAGAATCATTTATTTGTTAAACATAGGTAGTTTACATAATAAGGTCTTACACATAAAGATAGTCCACTATGTTTTGCCGTGATAGACATACAAATATATTAGGTACATGCATTTGAACATTATTAGAATATTACAATTTCAGTTAAATTTGTACAATAATAATAAAATAATAAAAATAAGGTATGTCAAAATTATGTCAATTAAAATTATCAAATTTATCAGGAAATACATTAAAATTGTCAAGAAAAAATTGAAATTGTCAAGAAATAAATTAAATTTGTCAAAAAATATTATCATTAAGGAATTCTTCAATTGAGTAATAGCATTTGTTTAATAATAATTTATTGAGAATACTTTTAAATCTAATTACTGTTGTATTTTTTATTTCATTGGGAATCTTATTATAAATTCTAGGGGCATTACCAAACAAACTTTTGTACATAAGTGCTGTTTTACATTTTACTTGGCTTAGTTTATTAATATATTGGGTGCGTAAGGGAACATTCCTGCCTGAGCTCAATTTTGGAAATAAGTGAGGATTTTGTTTTACAAATACAGCTGTTTCCAGTATATACATGGAGGGCAATGTTAATATTTTTAGTGATTTGAAGTGTGCAATACAGCTGTCTGTGGTCTTCAGACCACACATTGACCTTAAACATCTTTTTTGCATTCTAAACACAAGCTCTCTATCTGTAGACTGCCCCCAAAATATAATGCCATAGCGTAATACCGAGGCAACGAATCCATGGTATGCTGCAAGAAGAGCCTGAAGGTTTACTTTTTTTGAAAGTTGGAAAAGCGCGTATGCGGATTTACTTAACCTTTTACATAACTCCTCAACATGAGGCTTCCAGCTGAGGACGTCGTCAATGACTATACCCAAGAACTTGGTTTTATTTGCTTGCTCGATACAACGGTTTTCATACGCGATTTTAATATAATCTTCTAGAATTTGTTAACACTATCAGTAACGAGATGACAAGCAGTCACTAAAATATGCATTACTAAAGTAATTTAAATAATAAAAAAGTAGTGGCCAGATTGTTTTTAACAGCACATAATAACTTCAATCACATTCGCAACTGACAACATTCTATATTTGAGGAAATATCTCCGAAATTCACCAATAAATAAATCACTTTAGTTCCAAAGGATGCAAATGAACGAATTAGAAGCGACTTTGAAGCGAGTTGCGACGGTAACTAGATTCCGGCGGGATTGAGTTTGGCACAAATCGTCAGCCAATAGGATCGGTGAATTCATCGCCAGCAAGGTACGATTGGACAAAAATTATTTAAAACTTTATTCGAAATTTATTCATGACAAAAATTCCTATTAAGTACTTTGTTCCTTTATAATTGTAGGTTCCAAACCGATTTTGAATTGTGGAAATGAATTTTTCCGACGTGGCGGTAGCGGTCTTGTTCCAAACTTTATCTTTTCATGGAACGATAAGTATTATAAGATTGGTCATTATTTCGATTGAATTTTGTCGATTAATTGTCTTCTCAATGTTATGAAGACTAAAATTTATGAATGTCTAAATCGTTTAGCATTCGTTTAGTAGTAAATAGTTTATTTGAAAATTTTTAGGAATAAAACTTATCAATATTAAATTTGATAATTACTATTAACGAAATTTACACTATTTTAAATTCAATAATCCACTTGTACTCGTAAACACTAACTAACAAATCTAGCGAGGAACTCTTTGGTAAACTACATATTTAACCGTAACCCTATAAAGTTACTATTTAAACAATTTCCTCCGTAACTGGGGCCCAACTATTCGGGTCGTGGTGAAATTCAGAGCACGGTTCGCAGGACCAATCGGATTTTCTCGGGGTCGCTGTGACGTACCGAGATTTGGTTAGGGTGCCACGGTGAAATTTCCATACGTTGCCATGCCGGCTACAAAAATTTTTGTGACGAATTTCGTTCGTCTTGGATTCTCGGTCTCGCCCAATATGATGTTCGGAATATTTTCGTGTTCAAAGAACATGTTAGTTAGTTTCTGGGTCAGTGATTTTCGATTGCATGGACATGTTTGAAGTTAAGGATGAGGCAAAATCATGAAATACAATAGATGATATAAATTTGGGTTTAATTTAAGTAACATTACAATACTTAATGATGCACCATTACATTTTGTAGTTAATTTTATTTTTGTGAAAGATTAACTTAATTGGGTAAGTATAAATCAAAGAGTCAGGTAAATATAAACAATAGAATATTATATTTTCACACACATCATATATTATAACGTATGCTATTGATACATCCCTCGATTTCCATATATAACTATGGAATATAGTTCAGAAATGAAATGGAATACTAGTCCGATGCACTCAATATATTCAAAGGCTTCACCAGACACTATATATAGGCGGTGTACGCACGTTGTTACATGAATCTCCGATAACACCTGTGTCGGGGCTCGCAAGGATATCGATATGCAACAGCGTGTCGATATCTTATAGTCAGGTAAGGGCTGCGATATGAGCCGACTAGTGATGTTGAATTTAAATTATGTTTTCGCAACTTGTTCTTTTATTTTATAAGTTTATTTAGTCTGTGGACATAAAATCCAATAGAGTAGATACATACATTAAGTATGGAAGAGTAATTGCTGAACAAAATTTGACAAGTCTCGGTCTTGGGAAAATTCATGGGAAAATTTTGGATGAGATAATTATTATTTGCCTTCCTCGTTGGTCGCAAGTGCGACTGCCGGGCAAGGGGTCTTGGGTTCGATTCCCGGGTCGGGCAAAGTAGTAGCACAGTCTGGAAATGTGCCCGGTATATGGCAATAGGCTCACCATTACATGGGACTCATAATATAAATAGTGAAAAGTGGGTGTTACTTCTGTGTGCACCTCTGCCTACCCCTTCGGCGCTAAAAGGCGTGATGTTATGTTATAATTATTATTTGTTGAAGAAAATAATGTACTTGGAGTGCACTTTTATTCAACTCATTGCTATGCTGTACTCTTAATGATGAAAACATAACTAGTTCATTTACTAACGAGGATAATAACAAACAGTCGGCTAAATTTAGGTGCTGTACACAAAGCAGGCGGGTCACAGCTCTACTTGCTAATTACAATTTTACGAATTCACTGCCCTCCTAATTACCAAAGCTTCAGAGGTGACTCTCGGTGGCACAAGTTAAAGGAAACTATACCAATATGGTTTAGCAGTACTATTTATTTTGGTTAAAGTAATATTCTATATAGGATCCAAAACGTCCTCTTAGAGCAGTGAACCAAACGTTTTAATTATGATCTGGCAAAAATATTGTAATAAGTATTTTGTCATGAATATTTTCTGAGTCAAAAGAAACCTACCTCTACAATTAAACTGTCAAACACCAAGCGGTCACCGGTGACCGCAACCTATTGTTCTATAATTGTGTCTACAAAACCGGTACTCGACGAGTTAAGAAGGGGTGGTATTTAATACTTTAACTGTAAATTCCCGTTTTTTCAATCAAAATGTTTGAAATTACCACCAAAAATACTGAATTGCACACTAAATTTGCTCATCAAATAAATCAATTACTGTTATACTAGATGACTATATTTTAACTAAAAGTAAATCTAATAATTCCTTACCTAGCCTAACCTAACCTATTTTGGAAATTCCGTTGTAATATTGAACAATTTATGTGCAAATCAGTATTTTTTACGGTGAGTAATATGTAGTTAATTTGTAGTACAGTCATTTTTTTATATGCAGTAGGTTATTAGTGGAGACATTTGGTTTGCTTATATATCTAAATGGAGGTGAGGAGGATGAGTAAAAATTCCCCATTAAGAAGTAAGATAAGTGACACTATAGTGAATGTAGGTACACGTTCATTAAATTATTATTCCAGTAATTTTATTATCGCACGGGAAAATATGATACTGGCACCGCTAACAGTGAATTAGTTCGCTTTTTCGTCTAACTTGCGTACATCATTAAGGGACTCACACAGCCCAAGTTATAATTAACGATGTCCAAACTGTAGTGCGCGTCCCAATTAAATGATATTGAATTAAAACCCAACGTAACAACTTATTAATCCTTCACTAGATAACATGACTTCGTTTTAAACCAGACGCCATATTACATTCATTTTAAAATAGAACCTTTTCGAAGCTCAAAACACTAATTAAGTTTAAATAGATGTTTATCTGAATTTGTGTAATGTAAATTTTAGCAGTTGTTGACGTTGAAGCTTATTTAGAAGGCATATTTAATAATATATTAATATTCGCAATTTATTTTATATTTTACAAAACTTGCATATTTATTGTTTCGTCTGTTAGTCAGGGATTTCACGATAAACATAGTGAAATGTTGTACAAAATAAATTAAGAAAGAAAGAAAGACCATTTATTTTGCTACGACACACAACAAGAATTTAGGAACACACAAAAAAGCCTATGGTGCTTCGCAGCGCAAAAGGCTGGAGCTCAGCTTTACCGTGGATCGGGCACAGAGGCTCGAGCCCATGGCGCTGATTTTCAGCACAGGCCCGTTATAGTACGTACTAGTTTTAGACCTACGGTAACGCTGTTCGTAGCACAGCATGATGTAAATAATAAAATTTATATAAAAGTGAAAACAAAATCAATATAAATGATTACTGCCAAAAATCTATATAAATAGATACAAAAAAAAAAAAAATAATAACAAGAACAAAATTACATTATACATACCTACATGTTAATAACAATAGCACATAGTGAAAATAAATATAGGTACATTCAAAAACAATAATGTCAGACCATAGGTATAATAATTATACAGAATATGTATCCATAGCATTTTTTGCATAGCAACAGGTATGAATTTTATAATTGACATTGAGATTAATTCGTTTGTATACAAATCTTATACCTGCATTACGGTCACTGTTCCTAGGTAACCAAGTTTCAATACTTCGACCAGTTTCCTTCTAATGAGTATACAAATTATGACTGGTGAATAAAAACGCAAGCCCGAATTTATACTAATCAGATGTCATTAGCTAAAGAAAAAGCTTTTATAAATATGTAGTTCGACTGCACGTTGGCGCCGTGGTTGCCGCACAATATGTAGCGGGTTCGATTCCCACACGGAGCAACTCTTTGGGTTGGCTCTCTCGGGTCCCGTAACAAATGTACGAATAATACTGAAAATTACATCCATTGCTTCGATATCAGGGTGTTGTTCATTTATGTAAATTAAATCCTTTTAGTTTTTATGAGAGGATATTATGAATATCGTAAAAATGTACGTTTTTTCGATACTCACGATATGTTTTTCAGTAATGTATTTTGTTTAAAAAACCTTGATTTTAAAACCTTTAAGTTTTATATAAAACCTTTTTCGTATATGTAAACATAACGTAGCTACTATTTAAATTGAGAAGTAAATAATATGCAGAGTAAACTACCTGTAGGTCTATTAAAACATATGTATATTCTATATCTATGTTTAGAGATATAAATCACAATATATTATGTACAAAATTTAAAGTAATAACTTTACAAGAAAATAATTCAGATTCACTTGTCTCTAAAATCAAGTCACACACACTCGATTGTATCTATAAAATCTAAAACCTAGAACTTAGTAAATAAGTACGTTGTATATTTTTATACGTTCGCGAGTCATGTACAGTTACTTTTTAATAGTTTGAGTGGTGGCTCGGGCCGCGTGTTATTCAATTTTTGCTTCACCGCTGCCGTCAAACGCGTTACGTTTATACGTTTAGTTATGATACGATGTGGTTTAAACTGATGTCAGTGTAATATAGGGAGCGGGTTTTAATGGTAGAATAATGAAAGTTCTGGAGTTTGAAGGCTTTGTTCCAATTTTCGTCATATTCTGGACATGTTTGGCGTTTAAAAGGTTCATGTTTATTTTTTTATGGCATAAACCGTTAAACGAGCAGACGGATCACCTGATGGTAAGCAATCGGCGTCGCTCATGGACACCTGGAACACCTGAGGCGTTACAAGTACGTTACCGGCCTTTTGGGATTAGGAGTTTGAGTATCATTGGGGATTCAGAAGTTGGGAAGATTGGGGAAGGGGAGGGTAATTGGGCCTCCGGTAACCTCAGTCACACGACGAAACACAACGCAAGCGTTGCTTCACGTCGGTTTTCTGTGAGGCCGTGGTATCACTCCGGTCGAGCCGGCTCATTCGTGCCGAAGCATGGCTCTCCCACACTTAAAATCGTTTATCGGAGAGTGTTACTACACTGTCTTTATTGAGAAAAGCTCTACTAGTATCGAACCACAGTAGACTGCGCGATATCACCGCGACCGCGCACGCTGGTCATGACGAAGAACCCCTCAGTAGGGTTGACACTATAGAACTTTTCTCAGTATATTCACGTGAGTAACCCGCGATTTTTAGTTGATTTGGTATGTCTCACAATAGTTATTATAAAGAATACCCTGGGTTTATTAAATGTGTAAGTTCCTTCGGTTACGACACCCGTGGGAAGAGCAGTGGTGGTGATAAATGTTTTCTAGTTTAGCATCATCACTTGGCTTGAAACTGAGTATCATAACTTACACACAAATCTCATGTAAGAATAAATTGTAAAAACTGTTAGATAATTGTTTGTGACCATTTTTATTATACGCGTAAGTGAATCGTGAATCTATTGAAGCTGTTGTCTTGTTTCAAATAAGTTTGTTCAATTTGAAAAATGTACCTGTGTATGTGTCACTCTAGATCTAATATTAAAAGCAATCTGTGGAGAACGTAGTGGATAACATGCTTGCCAAGTATAATGAGTAAGCTGAATTATGTATATTTCGTAATATGTTACCGTTGGTTTTTCCTTAATGAATAAATAAATAGGTAATGCACTAGGATACACTACGATTTTCTCCTGTGTCGTGGGTGCGTTTACAAACATACAAGTTCAAATATACATATCACCCAGACCCGGAACAACAATTTGTAGATCACACAAAGTGTTGTTTCGTGTGGGAATCGAACCCGCGTCACGTTGCACGGTAGCCGGTTGCGCAGTCAACGCACCAACCGTGCAGCCAAATCTTACAAGCCTTCTCTATTTAATTAATAATACACACAAAAATATAATAATTATTAAACTTCAACTTACCCCTTTTCCAGAGCACTCGTTGTTTTTATCGTCAGTAGGACACTTATTGATGTGGTCGATGTATGTGAAGATGGAGGTGCAGGTTTGGTTGACGCAGACGAGATTGTCTCCGCACGGGGTGCCGTCCCTTACCAGCCCGAGGGGAGCTATCTCCGAAGGTTTTGGAAGACCTGTCGTGGCTCTGGAAGGCGGGAAGAGATTGGCTTTCAGAAGAGTATAATATGTTAAATCACCAGATAAAAGCAACAAAGATACTTTACCACCAGAAGCATAGGTTTTAATTATGATGCAAGTATAAAAATATCTCCTATCCATTGTAAATATATTATTATGATTATGATGATTTACCTTCCAGCTCTGCTATTCTGTGACTGTCAATTCGAACTGTTGAAGGGAGCTCGATCGCATTCTCGCCCGTCATTGGTCGAGATTATTTCACCAATAACATGGCAGACCGCGATCAAGTTCACTTCAACCTTTCGAATTGAAAATTACAGAATCGTCTAGCTGTATCGAACGTAGCATACTCACTTGCATTCAAACTCGGTACCCTTGTTGTTGATGTAGATTTTTGTGTAATAGTCGTCCATACCCGGCACTATGGGGTAGCGGTTACCCAGCTGACACTGCAGGGATCCACAGCGAGCATTTCTGGGGATCATACATATACGTACAATTATAGATATCGAATAGCGTATGAAGGTACTATTATCAAAAAAGAAAATGCTGAGAGATTTCAGAATCAACAGTTATATATTAACCTTTAAAAACTATACAATGTTATGTTGCTAGAAAGACAGATGAAGGTTTTCCCAGAAGAACAGTGAAGGAAGAAAGCCAATACTTAAAGAGTTGCATAAGTATGCGTTGTTCAAATGCTTTCGAGTTCATGATTAGTTTGATAATGTTAAAATAATTATAAGAGTACTCACTCAGGATCACACTTAATAAAATGTCCGCTGTTATCCTTTCCGCAATGTCCAGTCACTGTTCCTTTAGAATTATACTCCTCAAAGCATTCCTTTTTAGCTCCTAATGACCCTTGGCCCCAGATCTTCTCACATTGGAGGGACAATGTGGGACATTGTCCCGCGAAGCAGGCTCCATTGCCGGCCTGACAGGGCTCGCCATTCTTCCGATGTGCGTCAGGAGGACAGACTCCGGACAGCCCCGTACACGTCTCTTCTAGATCACATTCATTGGTAGCGTCCCGGCAGGTCACGCCACGTGGTTTCAGCTGTTGATAACCACATGTTGTTCATGTGCATTCAATTGAAAACTTTACTACCTAATGACATAATCAGTAGATCAGTAGTTAGGGTAGTAACCCTAACTAGTAGATTATCAAAAAGCTGAAAGACTAGTTAGTTTATAACGCACAGAAAAACTGATTAGCAATGCACAGGATAACAATATTTCCTCACACAAACAGGTTCACAAACATGTCATGTATGTATGTTCGTACATGCGTCACACAATTGTGCTCTCCCCCTAATTTCCAAGTAAATCACTCTTTTTGCGGTTCCGAGCGTCGCATTTGCATAGTTGTCCAAAACTTTATGTGGCATTAACTTTGTATTATTCAACATTATGACACACAGCTTGGAACATTAATCAGTTTTAAAACTGATGAAATTCAGACATTGCGTTGTAAATTAGTTGGAATACATTTGCCTGAACAAAATGCAAATATGTTTCGACTGTGAGACTCGTATTTAAATGACGGCCGTTGTTCTGTGCTTAAGGTCTAGAATTCTCAGTTCGCTGAAATCAAAGATCTAGACTTGGAAGTCTTGTAGGTAATTTACGCCTGATTTATTACTGTCAGTGGAGCGAGACTTATCAATATACAATAGATTTCAAATGCACAGTTCAACGAATCAAATAACAACGAGAAACTTGTCTGCGACGTAAATCGTATTGAATCTGTTGCACAAATGTTGTTGTCAATTGAAATATACATTTTCTGACGAAGGTATTACGTAAACTAACCATGTTCTTAGAAGGTTATCTTCTACTCGGACATTGTTTCTTATTTAAGAAAAGTTATCCGACGCAAGATTAGATAAAATATTCAACCATATTTAGATCAACTGTTGCGGAAATTAAATTTCTTCTAAGCTCTTTACGTAACAACCATATGGCCTTACCTGACACCTTTCGCAGCACTCTCCAGAAGCACACTGCGACTCCTTGGTGAGGCGGCAGGTGAAGGGGTCGCAGCACGGGTTACTGTTCTGGCACTCCGATAGAGTGCCACAGTCACACTCCTCGCCCTCGTCCAGCCGTCCGTTGCCACATAAGTGGTGCATCACCAACTGCGTACAATGAAATGGTGATTTTTATCACTGGTAGGTATAATAATTGCGAGGCTATGTTTTTGATTGGTTGAGAAGTGGATGACGAACGAAGCATTATGGAGAAGAATTAACATCATATTTAAAAAATCTGTGGTATTTAGCCGTACAGTAATACAGTCCCGTCCAGAACATTAGGTAGTTCAATTTACGAAGGAATATACACATCAACATAGAAATACACTTAACTTTGTAATAAGTAAAATAAAAAAACAAAATACCCGACTGCACACTAAAAAAAGAGTAAAACAAGCCCCACAATAATATTGATCAATCAAATGCTAAAAACTAATTATGTAATACCGTTTAAACAATACCTATATTAAAATACACTACAATATGTGTTCGTAATCGATAGTTAAATAAACAGAAACTTATTTTGAATACAAATTTACTGAATATAATTTATAAATGTTGATGGAAAGCATCGCAGGCGGGGACCACCTTGACCGCCACCAACGAAAATTCTGCTAAATGGTGCACAACCGAAATGACTATAAATAAGCCTCTGTTGGTCCCCGCCTGCGATGCATTCCATCAACATTTATAAATTATATTCAGTAAATTTGTATTCAAAATAAGTTTCTGTTTATTTAACTATCGATTACGAACACATATTGTAGTGTATTTTAATATAGGTATTGTTTAAACGGTATTACATAATTAGTTTTTAGCATTTGATTGATCAATATTATTGTGGGGCTTGTTTTACTCTTTTTTTAGTGTGCAGTCGGGTATTTTGTTTTTTTAATAATAATTTTTTTATTTATAACTTTTTAGCTGTTTTTATTTCGATATATACAAATAGGGATATATCGAATAAAATCGCTATTTAGAGACGACCGTCAACGACGTGTGCCCTCATGCGTGTGCCCGCAATCGGGCTGTATACTCGAGCATATCCCCCTCCGCACCGCGCCGCGCGCCGCATGCCAGGCCACGCCCTATCTTTTTGCTTGCTAACGCATGAGTTGCTTTGCGTTGACGCAGAATTAACATGTTCCCGTGGGAATTTTGAGAAAAAACGTATCCTATATTAATTACTCCCGTGATTGAAATGAATCTAATGATACCGCATACATATTTTTTTAAAGGGAAATTTAGAAAAAATATTATTATGTCTTTATCCCGTGGGACTTTTAGGATAAAATGTATCCTATGACACTCCCGTAATCAAGACAAATCTAACGATACCTCATACATCAAAATCCATCAAGCCGTTTAGGCTACAGGTGGTCACAAAGGAAAAGACATACATACATACTTACATACACTCGAAAAACATTACCCTCCTTCTTTGGCAGTCGGGTAAAAATTATCTAAACAAGAAAGATGATCTATACATCCACTTATTGTTAAGGTCCCATATAAGAATAAACCACTCGAATATATCGATGATTTTATGCCTTGTTTCAAGGTATTCTTATACCTTAAGAATACCTTGAAACAGTAAAAGATGTGTAGCGTCGTGTATCAGTGTATCATGTCAAACTCAGTGAAAAAAGCATTAGTAGTACAAGAGAAACATTTTAGAATGCCCAAAGGGTACGGGGTGTAGCGCGCACATGTTTGTATTGAGTTTACGTATCTCGAGGATTTTATGTCAGTAAATGTAGAACAGGTATAAGAATACGATAACGAATGATGAGAAAAGTCACCAAATTCAAACAGAATTTGTTAAAAAGGAACTTATAATTTAAAGCGTGTAACTATAAGATATAAATATATATTCAAGGATTTACTTTTACAAAAAAATGTTCAGGAACTCGATGCGCCACGAAGAGCCGTCGTGAATCAAAAACACAAATTCTGAAAAGAAACTTGCGCACAACGAGATCATTCACAAAGTGATGAGATATCAACAGCAGAATAAGTTCGAACATCGGATAACAAATCACGCATTACTATGAGCAGCCATGAACCGCCAGAGGAAAATAAAGGCATTGGCTCACAATCATCCCCCGATAAATATGTAAACGTGAGAAATCGAAGGGGAGTACCAGGGCTCCGCATTATCATTCCTGACTATGCAAATTTATTCCAATAAACCTTGGCTGGCGTTCGTTCCTGTTATTATATATTCGCAAACGAAGAGATGATTCGGAGCGCGAGGGCAGCCGGTATTACCATAACTTTTATTAAAGGAGTGGGCCTTAGAGCGTTGACGACAAACAATACGACGGCGTCTGATTAATTTTCAACGTGAAAATCTGTTTTGAATTCGAATTAACTCTTGCGTGGAAGTGGCGATGATGAGTTCTCGACCTATTCACACAATGCCGGATCCAACTTTGTGATATACACATGTATGTATGTATGTATGTATGTAGTAGCTGTTAGCTATGATTATGCGTGCGGGCGGACATTTTGTAAAACTAATTTTCACTCAGGTTAAAGTTAAAACCAAAATCGTTTATAAAACCAAATATATTAATAGACATATATACAGACGTAGTGTGCATTAGCAGGATTAGATATTAAAATCTTGTCATCAACCTTAACCTACATCGAGTCATCGACTTTACCAACGGATCTCATCGTTTTTATCGCGAATTAAACTGATTTCCCTCAGAGATGGACTCGATTGAATTTGATTTTACGATTCCGAGTTAATTAAAGTTTAAATAGCTAAGTTCTAAGACTTCAATCTCATTCATTTATACTAGAAATGTTTTAATCTGATTGTAATTTGTTTTATTACCCATTATTTGTGTTTAGAAAGGAATTAAGTGATAAGTATTGAAATTCATTTTATTGAACCTGTTAATATATTTTAATTAGGATTTCAAATAAAGGCTTATTTATTAATACTAATTATATGACCACAACAGCTGCGGTGGTGGTTTTATAACGGTATAGTAAATTGTAATTTTATTCTAATTGTTACTATAATACTATTTAAGTTCAAACTAATAAATCAAAAATCTATTTGTTAATACTGTGACATCATTTTACTAAGTAAAAGTTTTCGACTTCAATTAACAAATTGGACTTGTTTGTGAACCTAATTAATCTAATAGATAAATGCTTTCGGATTTCGTTTTTGAAAAATTGGTCACTAATACTGAGCGATTACAATTTAAATAATTTATGATATATATATATTAAATCTTTATTTGCGCAAAGTTCTCATTGATTTAACGATTTACTGAATCGAATAGAGGGGACCAAAAACTAGACTAGATCTTGATATTGATTCAAATAAATAGACTAAACTCTGGCATACTGTCATACATTATCAATAGGTAATGTATGACAGTAATCGAATTAATCGTAGAATCGAAGTTCGTGTGAGAAATTATTTTTTTTTAGTTTTTTCAACCAATTCTTCCAAACTCTGCTTCAGTAGTTGCACGCACCCCAAGACCATTAAAAGTACCCTGTACTAAATATAAATAAAATGAGAGCTCAACCTACCTCATTAGGTTTATTGAGCAAGCACAGTCCCTGTCCGACCCTGAGTTCGTTGATGTAGTCATTCTTGGAGCAGTCGGAGAACTTGTAGGGCTGCACGTTGTCGGAGCCCACGATGGACTGCGCCATGATGCAGCCGTGCCAGTCGCGGCAGAAGCATTGCTCCCGACCGTCGTCGTGGCCCATACCTATGGAGAAAGACATTGTTTATTGAGGGTACTTAATTTTTACCGGATGACAAAAGTGATTATAGTTTCTTACTTATTCTTTTCTGTTTCGAACATTTTTCTACATTTGGGCACGAGCTTCTCTCCCAGGTTCAGTAATTTACTTTTAAATTGAACTGCCAGCCCTAAGTTATTTTGACATGTTGTGGGTGAAAATGGAATGTACGTGGTACAAAGTATATCATGTTAATTGAAAATAACGGTTTATCCACAATTGAGAAAGGCTCAATTAGTTTCCGGTAACAACGGGACTCTTATTGATGAGCAATTTTCGTGTAGAAGGCGTTATTTTATTTATTTTTTTATTATCTAAGTTTGTTACACGATAGTTATATTATACTCTCAAAAAAACTCTCACATTCATAAATGTAAAAAGTAAAATGGAAGTAGACTTCAGTCTTTACTTACCAATATTGTGTCCAATCATATGTGCCATGGTCCCAGCAAGGAGGTGGGGCTCGTAAGTGTTGGTGTCCACGGATATACCCACAGACTTGGGCGTGCACAGCGTGTCCGGGACTGATATTCCGGACTCACCTCCCGGGAACGTCAGCCCGCTGTAAGGAAGAGCACGGATTATTATGCTGGGGTCTTACATTGAAGTTCTTATTCTAAATGCTCTTGGCTCGTTTGTTTAATTAGTTATAATGTAACTAGATGTTAGTCTCGATGAAATATCGTATATCACAATTTTGTGCAAATATCTCTAAAAGATATTCTTCATTTACAAAAGCGCAAATGACATCAACTTTCGAATTAACAAAATACCTAGGTACTACAAAACGTCTCCAGTCAAAGTAGCTGGTATATTTCAAACATGTTATAATTTGATATACATTTTGTACCGACTTCACGTAGCACTTTGCTTGAACTTTGTGTACCTCACTTCGTATGCAACGACTCAACTAAGATGAATCTTCCTATGAATTGCTCATACGTCTTTGTAACTCAAGTTCTTTGCGTGGAAACTGTTTAATTTCTTATTTAAATTTTGTTTGAGTTACATTTCTGAGTTTTCTCTTTATCTGTTTATAATGTTATGTTCATTTTTAAATGTGTTCTGTGCGTACGGTTAGCGTAACATACGCTACGAAGATTCGATTGAAACAATTATACGTGATGTTTAAAAACCTGATTTTGATTAAAACGTTAAACAAAACCTTAAAAAGTTAACGGTAAAACATTATTAAAACAAAAGCGTTTGAAAATAATAGCAGCGGCCATTTTAATTGTCTCTGGTACGAGTAGGTACCATGCAATCATTTGTGCCCTTACTTAATAAGACATACCATTAAAAATAAACGCATTTTCACTCACAAAGGGATTATCGCCACACTGGGGCCTCTAAAACAATTAGGTACGTCTGTTAGGCCATAAAAATTATAATAATCAAGCGTTTTTGGCTATTATACAGACATAAGGCGGATTAAGGCCACATGCGCGGTATATTGTCCTCTTTGTAAATAAATGATGAGGCCGCGTTGTGGAGGATACGTGCGTATATATGATATTAATTGCTCGGTTATTCTATATTAATGCTTTTGGTAATATAATATACTCGGTAGACTATATATTATATGAGGATATAATGATAGTTTTTGAAAAACCAAAAAACCTCACGATAATACTTTGTCTGAAGTTGTTATCACTATTTCTCTATTAACTTTAAATGTTTTTAAGTTTTCTTCCTATTAAAAATCAAAAGGGGACCAATATAATCTAAGTCTTTAATAGAAATTCTTTGAAAAATGATTATCATCTAGTATTTGTGATCGCTTATCGAGTTTTGTGATCGAAGGCGAATTTGACAAAGTTTGTAACACGACGCGATAGCGTCACAAGTTGAGGAAATATTACGAATTGGAATATACCGAACAAAGACAAAATGGCGTACCTGACTTTATTGCGTGTAGTGTTCAGTTCTTATAAGCATTTGATAAAGATCAGCGTAAAGTGGTTTGTTATAGATTACCGATTGTGGTAAGAATAGTTATTGTAGCTTTTTTCTAGGTTCTTTCGCCTTACGATAGGGAATATCTTAGCTCTTCGAATTACCTAAATATTACACCGTAAACAAACATTAGATTGTACGCTTTATAAATAATTATTATACAAAGCAGTAGGTACACATTGAACAAAATCTTGTGCGCCATTGACATTTTCTGGTATCGAACATTGCCACTACAATCTGGCATCTCTAATCGAGCTACGAACTGTGACACGATAAAATAAAAAGTGCAACACTACTAGTTTGCAACATTCATTCAAGTACGCCACGACGCACGCCGTACCCGCTTTTCCGTATGTTTCCAATCGTCAAGTACTTCGGAACACAACTTTCAAAGGTACACTCGATGCTCAAAGAGCGGGCACACTTCCACGAGAACTGATTCGACTCGGATATCGGAAATTATAGTTGAATTACTTCGCCAACAAGCGATAGCGCTGACGTCATCGACGCCATCTTAGATCCTTTTGTAGCAGACGTTAAGAGATAATTAGAAAAAAGAACTGTTTGCGGGCTGATCTGATTGATTTTGAAATTGGAAGCTTTTGTTTTGATTTAAGTTTATAAGGGCATCTTTTTCTGTTCGACCAGTATTATAGATGAGAAATGTTATTGACACTTTATGGTAGTCAATGAAATAGTTTTTACGTCTACAAAGTTTTAACTATCGATGAATAGTTAACAGGCTCCTAAAAACCAAAGTCTGAACAAAACAGTCATAACTTGGCAAATCTATACAAGCGATACCTTCGGAAGTTTTGTAGAATACTCATAAATCCAGGAGGTATACCGCATAGGCATAAAAGTGGCTACATTTTATATCTATCTAATCAAGCTGCGCGGGTCCCGTACTGGGTGGCAGTCATAAAACCGTGGCAATTGTAACAAATATTCGAAGCACGTCGCCAGGTGAGCATTGGAAACCAATCACTTGGATTTTTTTAACCTAGTTACATGTATGGTATTCATTAATAATATATTTGTTAGTCCTTTTCATGTTTTCGAGCACAAAATATAGAGTTTGAAGGTATTTAACTGGAGAATTTACTGATCCTCTGAATGAGAAGGGGATGAAGAATGATTTTATTTTTGGAAAAACTTGTTTTGAATTTTCAAAGCGTTTGAAATTTAGATTATACTGGTTTATTATTGTTCTTACTTTTTTTCCATTTTCTCAATTCAAAACTCATTTAGTTTGTAAACTTCATGCACAAAGCGACGTTGGTAATTAGATAGAATTTCTGTTTGTGTATGTACGTGATGAAGGATTAGTGGACAGACTAATTTTACTACGGAGTGTTATTGCGTTAGCCTTGTTTGTATTGAGTCCGGACGACGGACCCGGGAAATACATAAATTAATAACAATGCTTTAGGTTGTATCATTGAACACGGACGAAATAATACCCGAAGATAAACGTATCGTAAGGGAGGTCCTAAAATATCTAGTACAGGTTCAGATTACTTTCTGTATCGAACGTATCTTATATTGTATTCAATTCTTACTAACTTATGGATGGCGAACCTCAACACAATGGAACGACCGCTTCCACGAAATATACCGGCATAATATACGTCCATGATGGTTCACTGAGCAAATATATACACGAGTATTACATAGACATAAACACAAAGCTCATAGTTCGGTTACGTCATGCCTCGTCATCGATCTACTTGGCCAGATTCCTGAAAGCTCACATCGACACAAAATGAATATGTAGATTCAGCGATATCCGAAAAAACGGGCAATAAATGCCAAGACCGCATTGTTCGACTGTCAATCCGTTGGCGGCATTCTTTCCCGAAGGATCGGAGCCATTTCAGGATACAGCACTCGTAAATATTTGATAGACATCAATCATTCACACGACAGTCCCAGAAATACTCCGCTCGTATCGGAGACACTAACGTCCCACGATATCGGCGTGTATCTGCAGTCGACATCCTAAATTATGACAGGATACCGGCTGTCGGAAACATTACCGCGAATTCCTAGTAATTTGTAAAATTAGAGCGATAATAGCCGATGATATTTCGAGGGTCGTAAATCCAAGCGAATGTAACCTCAAAAACGAGGAGGTTAAAGTTTAAAATGAGGCAACATGAGCGCTGTAACGCTTTTCGTCAGATTCGTTTATCGCTCGAATTAATTCTCGACCTCGTTCGCTTTCGAGATTAATTTTCGAGCTGTTTAGCGCACTGGCAACTGTCTATCTAGCAATTTCGTTCGTTCAAAGTGAAAAGGGTTTTGTAAGCAGATTTGTGGAGCCTCGCTTGCCGGTTGAAACGTCTCTTGCGAAATATTTGTATTACTTTAGTACAAAATGCAGGCGAGGAGGGACGCTTTCATAAAATGCAATGTAAGGAGTGTTATTTCTCTTCCCCGTACATCCGAAAGTTGCGTCTGAATTGTGAAACAAAATCTGCTTGGTAACAAGATTTAGTTTCAAAGATTAAACTTAAACCTGCTATGTAGTTTCATTTTAAATGTTGTTTATTGCTTAATATGAATCGTATTAATCTAGTTCTAATTTACTCGTGAATTCATTTCTGAATAGAAACGTGTAAAGTATTTAGTGCCATTCGGTTGAAGATGTTCATTTGTGATAGTACTAATTGGATTTGATTTCTTTTTACGTTTGGTTATTAAGCTAACCTTAAAACTTTGAAGTGAAAATGCGACATAATAACACTAGTTATTAATAGTTTGTACCTACTGAAACCTTTGTATCTTTGTGAATAAGTACCAAACAATAACCAATAACATTGACTCGACGACATTTACATATTTAATACAACTGTACTATAACTATATCAAGCTTTGATCGTTACCCTAAAATGTCAATAGTCTGGTAGATTATTTTAAATCATTAGACACTTATTGTTTATTTTCTTACAGAAACGAATACTTTCGACGATATATTGATTTGAAATGTCGCGTGACGTCACTTCTATGTACATTTCAAATGTAGAAATGACGTTTTAGCCCCCACTCCTAAACTTCGTTCCGTTTTATCTAAGTATTGTTTTATTAAACGACAAAATAAAAAAATACGTGTCTAATATTTTTTCATTACCTAACTTACGGACTAATTATATTTTTAATTTTCATACCCTGTCATCATCCCAATTAACAAAATACATCTAAAAGCATTCACATTTCTCATTTTACTTACGTGAGCAACTGTGTAGTGTCTTTCTCAATCTTGAACAGTTTCCGAGCAGTGTAGTCGCTGAACTTGTGTATGGCGCGGGTGATGTCCTGCTTTCGGTCGATGTCTGCCTGGTCTGCACTCTGCCAGGACTCGATGTACACCAGGGATACCCGGGTGTTCAACGTGCGGAAATACTGTAGGAACAAAGGGGACGTTTAAACTTCTGTTTTTGTTGCTGATAATGCTAGTTGACACAAGGATTTTTTACTTAAGAATTATCGCAATAAATAAAACCGAAGGCCGTTGAAGTTTTCGTGCCTGCTCGTATGTATGATGTATAGATTCGCCATCAATATGAAACGATATAGAAATATTTAGAAGGTGGTTATAATAATTAATTAATAATTATCTCCGTCTACCATCTCAATCTCTATAGTAATAGAGGTAAAAGTAATATTTCGTAACATAAGCCAAATTTTTGATATCATACGAAACGTTTTCGGAGCAACATTTTTCATCTATGAGTGGCACAGAGCACGCAACTAGCGACCCGCATGTAGGGAAAACTTCGTTAAGCAGAAAATTGGCTGTTCGGCTCTGTTTTAAACCCGGAACACCCTATTATAACCTAGCAAAACGTTTTGATTAACCCAAAAATTGAATTTTGGACAAGCATTACTTATTTTCGAGGTAAAAAACTTTTAATGAGTTTATGAGTTACGGGTCTCACTGAATATGATTGAAACTTTCCGAGTTTCGCACAGTTTCTGTGGTAGCATAGGCTCTGCACGACAATAATTCTTTTTTTAGGAGTTAACAAAGTTATCTTCCTCGTTTTTGTGATTTAGACCTTTTTGTATAACCTTGAACTCTTATTCAGGCTAAATCTGTTTATCACTTCTACGAATTGATTCAAGGGCTGTAATAGGGTCAATCTCCAAAACGGGCGTATTCGTGTGATCGCTCTGGTGCTTTTCAGATATTGATATTTAATGGTAATTATGCATATCATTAAAAAGTATGATATTCAAATAGTATTTTTTTACTATTGGCCTTCAATTTACACAAACAGTTATGGAAATATTTAAGTTTAAAAAATTTCGCGACCAGAGCAATCATAATTGGTGCCAGAGCGATCATAAATGGTGAAATCAGTGAAACAAAAAAAATATATTGATAAAATATTATTTATTTAGGCATTATAAATTATTTATAATAAACTTATTCATAATATTAGCCTTGTATCACGTAGATTAGACACTGAACTGTCTATAAAAAAATATTTTGAAAACGTTTTTCGATTTTAAAATGGGTTTATCCAGCCCGACACGAAAAAAAATGCCTCTGGAGATCGACCCAATAGTTTTCAAATTATACTTATTAATATTGTTAAATATCTTCTTCCAAGAACGTCTTTATTTAGTTCGACTTGGCACTTAGGATCGAACCAAAGGACTTGTGGTACATAATCGCTATTCCATCACAAAGAAAGATCAAAATATAAACCAGATTAAATAAGCAAAAAAACCATTTCGCCATCTTAATCGAAAATACGTAACTAAAAAGTATGATTAAATAAAATACAGACGAAACACTGAACCGTGTCGAATAATTAACAAACAATATGGAGGTTTATCCGTAACGAATTTAAATTCAATTTTAGAATTCAACTGGATGTTCAGAAATAAATGAGATCTGTTGATTTGATTGATGAAGAAGATTACTAAACGCAATGCTTACTCGAAAGGACTTTTCTAACGGTTTATTAATTGTAAAATAAGGAGAATTGTAAGGAACGAAGTCACGTTCAGGGAAATGGCGGTACACGGTAGCTTAATAACTATTTACACCTATTCATTACTTTATGCTCTTAAAACAAGTCAACTTATGTATAGATATACATTAAAATATTTGAAATTGTGAAGTAACTGAGCAATCTACTTACAAATAAACTCCACAAAAATAATAATACATCTTTGTCTCGTACCTTTTTGTATAAAATGTATGTAAGCCCGAAGTGTTGGTTGTCAGGTCTGCATGGAAACACTAGAGCTTTGCTCATCATAATTTGTTGTACGTGACACGTGACAGATGACAGAGCCGTGTGACGACATATGACATGACGTGGCCCGACCATTTTACTGTTTTACGTTTCTTCTAATTAGGTTTGTTAGATAAAGATGTTTAATAAAGAACCCATTCTTTTGTTTTCCTAGAACGTTGATAGTATTAAAGAGGAAGGTTTGTGAGTGGCTATTTATGTTATATAGCTTTAAGTTGGAATATTTCTATTATAAAGTACAGAACGCCAAGCTGGATGCAATCTTTTACTTTTGTAATAAAATCGAAAATCCTTTGAAGAAGTTTGACAGTTTTGGAGTACTTAATTTGATGTGCTGGCTGTAGACTGTAGAGGCACGTTTAGGACATATAGGTAACTATTCTGTCTACCATAATACGATAGCCTTGGATTTGTATTATGGTGTAGGAGACTTCTTACAACGTGGTACATAAAATAGTTATAAAGAAAGGAACAGTTTCAGTGTTTTTATCTTGTCTATAACATTATCACGGGCACACACTGCGTAGTCTTAAGAAAGTAGTAAAATAAACTAAGGGCCTAATGATTAGGCGCATCGTAAATCTTATATTCGATTAGGAATAGGCTCTAAACCACGTCAGGCGCAGTATTTTGGGTACCTACTTTCATTTATTACACTACTGTTAAACGCCTTGTTTCTCCTAAGTAGAAATATAAATAATGATGTTACAACGTACAATTTCAAAAATAGAATGATAATGTCAATTTCAAAAATCTTTGACAAACATTTTTTGGTTTCAGTACGTTTTTGTTAAAAATTACCATTACAATAAAATATACCATAACCGGCTATCAGAAGCAGAAGGCTGAATATTTGAAGGTCAACTCACCAGATCAGCAATGTTAGCCACTTGAATAGCATCATGGACGACCTCCGACCTGGTGCTGCCGTTTCTTCTGTCAAACATAGCCTTGTCAATCACCAGGGCTGTCTCTATGTACTTCGTGGTTTCTCTGACGTCACGCCTGCGTCTGTTCAGTGCACGCAACCCTGCGTCCTGCCACCATCGCCAAGCTCGTTCTTCTTTCGTTCTTGTTGTTGAGTCCCTGGTAAATAAATGTATTGATTAACTATTTATTTTACTGTTACTTACAACTTTTTTAAAAAAAATCGATTTAGATAGTAATTACTGTGAGTTTGGAATTACCGTCCCGCTAAAAAATACAGACTATAATCGACCACAGATAATGTAAGCGCCACAGATGATATAAAATGCGTATCCTTAAAAATCGGTTTTAAGGCTGTTAGATGAGGGAATGCCTCCCTATAGGGTGGGGAGTGCTTAATCAAGTTTATCAGTCCCTTCACGCCCCTATTATTGGAAACTAGGGAAATTTCCCGGACCCGCCCGGGTAGATTGCTTCCGGGTTTTCGATTGGAGTATTGTAAATAGAAATGTTTTCTTTGCCATACGAAGGTGGGCTGTTATGACGTGTGTACACTGATGCGGATGTTTATTAGGGTTTCTCTGAATGCTCTCATTATAGTGAGTGGTGTACACTGTTCTCGATCTTATTGTTTGTCGTTGTAGAACAACAATAATGACGAGAATCGCCTAAAACATTGAAAAATTCGTAATGTTATCAGTACGCATTTTTCACGTACTACCGTAATTCTATTATTGATGTGCCTCCGGAAAACATACAGCATTGCTTTGAAGAAGCAGTCGTATACTTTCAGCTCCATCTATGATCGACGTTAGTAAACACGTAGTTTTCACCTAAAAGTAACTAGATGGCGTTAGGGTGCACCAGCAAGACGCGCCGGAGCGTTAGACTTCGAATGTCATAGCGTTGTGTACTTTCGCCGTGTTCGGTCGATATTACAACTTAACTGTAAATCTTTGTGCAAAAGTACTTTGAATATAAAAATATTTTAAAAACCTTCTTAAGTGAGTCTAAACTCCTAAATTAACTTAAGAAGGTTTTTAAATATAAAAATATTTTAAAAACCTTCTTAAGTGAGTCTAAACTCCTAAATTAACTTAAGTTTAAATTTTTCGATATTTGCAATGAATACCGCGTCGGTTAACGACATCGAGGTCGAGGAGGCTTCCGTTGCCAACCGACCGGTCGTGTCGGGCTCGCCGGTGAACGAGAGGGACCCGGATCAAGAAGAGCAGGACACCTCTGAAGACAGCAGTTCATCAGAAAGCGAAAAGGAACCGCCTCGCAAAAAACGGAAGCGACAAACTGAGGTAACGGTCGATCCTCGGATCGACGCGTTATACAACCAGGTATGTTTTCTTACAAACTTTATTATGCACCAACAATGTGTGCC